CCAGAACCTTCCAGGATCATCCCAGAACCTTCTAGAACCTCCCAGAATCTTCTAGGATCATCCCAGAACCTTCCAGGATCATCCCAGAACCTCCCAGAACCTTCTAGAACCTTCCAGGATCATCCCAGAACCTCCCAGAACCTTCCAGAACCTTCTAGGATTCCCCCACACGGCGACTCCGTCATCGTCGTCCTGCGCAACCCCCTCATCGCCGGCAAATAGGGAACATCCCCTGGATCATCCCAGAACCTTCTGGATCATCTCAGAACCTTCTAGAACCTTCCAGGATCATTCCGGAACCTTCTAGAACCTCCCAGAACCTTCCAGGATCATCCGAGAACCTCCCAGAACCTTCTAGAACCTTCCAGGATCATCCCAGAACCTCCTGGATCATCCCAGAACCTTCTAGAACCTCCCAGAACCGTCTGGAACCTTCCAGGATCATCCCAGAACCTTCTAGAACCTTCCAGGATCATCCCAGAACCTCCCAGAACCTTCTAGAACCTTCCAGGATCATCCCAGAACCTCCTGGATCATCCCAGAACCTTCCAGGATCATCCCAGAACCTTCTAGAACCTTCCAGAACCTTCCGGGATCCCCCACACGACGACTCCGTCATCGTCGTCCTGCGCAACCCCCTCATCGCTGGGAAATAGGGAATTCCTGGCTGAAATATCCCCTGGATCATCCCAGAACCTTCTAGAACCTCCCAGAACCTTCTAGAACTTTCCAGGATCATCCCAGAACCTTCCAGAACCTTCCAAGAACCTCCCAGAACCTTCTAGAACCTTCCAGGATCATCCCAGAACCTTCTAGAACCTTCCAGGATCCTCCCAGAACCTTCCAGGATCATCCCAGAACCTTCTAGAACCTCCCAGAACCTTCCGGAACCTTCCAGAACCTTCCAGAATCCCCCACACGGCGACTCCGTCATCGTCGTCCTGCGCCGCCCCCTCATCGCCGGGAAATAGGGAATTCTGGGGGGTTTTTGAGAAGGATTTTGGGAAGGATTTTGGGATTGGGGAAGGATTTTGGGATTGGAGAAGGATTTGGGGAGTTGGGAGATTTTGGGATTGGGGAAGGATTTGGAGATTTTGGGGTTTTGTGGGAGGAATTGGAGATTTTGGGGTTTTGGGGAAGGATTTTGGGATTTTGGGACTGGTGAAAGATTTTGGGATTTTGGGATTTTGGGATTGGGGAAGGATTTTGGGATTTTGGGATTGGGGAAGGATTTTGGGATTTTGGGATTTTGGGATTTTGGGATTGGGGAAGGATTTTGGGGGTGTCCCTCTGGCAATAAAAGCCGATTTGGGTCTGGGGTCTCTCTGTGTCCCCTCAGATCAATCCAGGTGCCCCCACCCCCCCAATGTGGGACCCCCACCCAAATTGTGGGACCCCTCCCCAAATGACAAAGACAACCAAGACCCCCCTCGATCATTCAAAGTCTTTTTATTCCCCAAGTTCCCAAAAAAAAGGGGTGGGGGGACACCCCTGTGACACCGGGGGGGGAGGGGCAGGGACGGACACCACAGAGTGGTGGGGGGGACAACAAAGGAATCCCCCAGGACCCCTCCTCAGATTTTCTTCCGTTGCGGCCGCACCCTCGGGAAGAGCTGGGGGAGAAATTGGGGGGAGATCAGGGGGAGGTGAGACCCCTCCCCAAAAAACAAAAAAACCCCAAAAAAGTAAAAAAAAAAATCCCAAAAATCATGGAGGGGGTGGGGGATCCTCCCCAAATGAGGTGGGGGCTGTGGGGAAACCCCCAAAAAGCACCCGAATTGTGTGTGTCCTATAGGACCCCTCCCCAAATAACCCTATAGGACCCTTCCCTATTGATTTATCCCTTATAGGACCCCTCCCCAAATAACCCTATAGGACCCCTCCCCTATTGATTTATGCCTTATAGGACCCCTCCCCAAATAGCCCTATAGGACCCCTCCCCAAACAACCCTATAGGATCCCTCCTCTATTGATTTATCCCTTGTAGGACCCCTCCCCAAATGATCCCATGGGATCCCAAATGACCCCAGATGATCCCATGGGACCCCGCCCCAAATTACCCCATGGGACCCCATAGGACCCCTCCCCAAATAACCCTTAGGATCTCAAAAGACTCCATAGGATCCCCCCCTAAATGACCCCATAGGACCCATGAGATCCTCCCAAAATGATCCCAAAAGACCCTGAAGGACCCCACTCACCCCAAAATAGTTGCGGGGCACGTAGCCCTTGTGGCCGTACAGGGACCCCCACCCAAAAGATCCCACAGGACCCCTCCCCAAATAACCCCAAACAACCCTAAACGACCCCAAATGATCCCAAACGATCCCAAATGACCCCAAAGGACCCCACTCACCCCGAAGTCGTTTCGGGGCACGTAGCCCTCGTGGCCGTACAGGGACCCCCACCAAAAGATCCCATAGGACCCTTCCCCAAATAACCCCAAATGATCCTAAATGAACCCAAATGATCCCAAATGACCCCAAATGATCCCAAAAGACCCTGAAGGACCCCACTCACCCCAAAATAGTTTCGGGGCACGTAGCCCTCGTGGCCATAGAGGGACCCCCACCACCCAAAAGCACCATGAGCCCCTCCCCAAATAACCCCAAATAATCCTAAATGAACCCAAATGATCCCAAATGACCCCAAATGATCCCAAATGATCCCAAAAGACCCCAAAGGACCCCACTCACCCCAAAATAGTTTCGGGGCACGTAGCCCTCGTGGCCATACAGAGACCCCCACCCAAAAAATCCCACAGGACCCTTCCCCAAATGATCCCAAATGATCCCAAACAACCCTAAATGACCCCAAACGATCCCAAACGGTCCCAAACGATCCCAAAGGACCCCAAAGGACCCCACTCACCCCAAAATAGTTGCGGGGCACGTATCCCTCGTGGCCATACAGGGACCCCCACCCAAAAGCACCATGAGCCCCTCCCCAAATAACCCCAAATGATCCCAAACAACCCTAAACGACCCCAAATGATCCCAAACAATCCCAAAAGACCCCAAAGGACCCCACTCACCCCAAAGTAGTTTCGGGGCACGTAGCCCTTGTGGCCGTACAGGGACCCCCACCAAAAGATCCCATAGGACCCTTCCCCAAATAACCCCAAATGATTCCAAATGGTCCCAAACAACCCCAAATGATCCCAAACGATCCGAAATGATCCCAAAGGACCCCACTCACCCCAAAATAGTTTCGGGGTACGTAGCCCTCGTGGCCGTACAGGGACCCCCCCACCCAAAAGATCCCATAGGACCCTTCCCCAAATAACCCCAAATGATCCTAAATGAACCCAAATGATCCCAAATGATCCCAAATGATCCCAAAAGACCCCAAAGGACCCCACTCACCCCAAAATAGTTTCGGGGCACGTAGCCCTTGTGGCCGTACAGGGACCCCCACCCAAAAGGACCATGAGCCCCTCCCCAAATGATCCCAAACAACCCTAAACGACCCCAAATGATCCCAAACGATCCCAAACAATCCCAAAAGACCCCAAAGGATCCCGCTCACCCCAAAATAGTTTCGGGGCACTTAGCCCTCGTGGCCGTACAGGGACCCCCACCCAAAAGATCCCATAGGACCCTTCCCCAAATAACCCCAAATGATCCTAAATGACCCCAAATGATCCCAAATGATCCCAAAGGACCCCACTCACCCCAAAATAGTTTTGGGGCACGTAGCCCTCGTGGCCGTACAGGGACCCCCACCCAAAAGATCCCACAGGACCCCTCCCCAAATAACCCCAAGCAACCCTAAACGACCCCAAATGATCCCAAAAGACCCCAAAGGACCCCGAAGGATCCCAAAGGATCCCACTCACCCCAAAGTAGTTTCGGGGCACGTAGCCCTCGTGTCCATAGAGGGACCCCCACCCAAAAAATCCCACAGGACCCTTCCCCAAATAACCCCAAACGATCCCAAACAACCCTAAACGACCCCAAATGATCCCAAATGATCCCAAAAGACCCCAAAGGACCCCACTCACCCCAAAGTAGTTTCGGGGCACATAGCCCTCGTGGCCATACAGGGACCCTTACCCAAAAGATCCCATAGAACCCTTCCCCAAATAACCCCAAATGATCCCAAACGGTCCCAAACAACCCCAAATGATCCCAAACGATCCGAAATGATCCCAAATGACCCCAAAGGACCCCACTCACCCCAAAGTAGTTTCGGGGCACGTAGCCCTCGTGGCCGTACAGGGACCCCCACCACCACTCGAGCTCGTCAGGGGGCTGACGCCGCAGCACCGTCACCGGCTGCCCCTCGCGGAACGACAGCTCGTCCCCGAACTCGGCGCTGTAATCCCACAGCGCGTACACCACCCCGCTGTTCAGGACCCCCATGCCCTGCTCCACCTCTGCGAGAAACCCCAAATCACAATTGTTAACCCAAATAACCCCAAATCCGTCAGATAACCCCAAATAACCCAAAATAACCCCAAATCCCACAGCGCGTACACCACCCCGCTGTTCAGCATCCCCCATGCCCCGCTCCACCTCTGTGGGGACAGGGGGGATCAGGGAGGAGACCCCAAATCCCTATTGTGACTGAAAAACTGCCACAGTACCCCAAAATAACCCCAAACACTTCCAGGCATCCCAAAAAATCCCCATTGCTGTTCCCACCCTCTCCATCCCCTATAGCCCCCCACCATTCCCAGTTCATCCCAGTGTACCCCAGTGAGGGAACTGGAGCAGTCAGAGGACATCACAACTCCCCAGTATCCCAGTCCCCATAACCCCACATATTCCTCCTATATCCCCCCATACGCCCCACCCCTCCCAGTCCATCCCAGTTCACACCAGTGAGGTAGCTGGCGCAGTCGGCGTAGCCCTCGCGGTACCGTAACCCCCCCATAACCCCGATCCCAGACCCTATAACCCCACATATCCCAGTCCACCCCAGTCCATCCCAGTCCCTCCCAGTCCATCCCAGTCCATCCCAGTTCACACCAGTGAGGTAGCTGGCGCAGTCGGCGTAGCCCTCGCGGTACGGGTCACATTTGTCCACGGCCATGCTGCCGTCGCTGCCCGTGGTGGCGAACNCCCCAAATAATCCAAAATATCCCAAAATAACCCAAAATAACCCAAAATAACCCAAAATATCCCAAAATATCCCAAAATATCCCCAAATCCCACAGCGCGTACACCACCCCGCTGTTCAGGACCCCCATGCCCTGCTCCACCTCTGCGAGAAACCCCAAATCCATCAGATAATCCAAAATAGCCCAAAATATCCCAAAATATCCCCAAATCCCACAGCGCGTACACCACCCCGCTGTTCAGGACCCCCATGCCCTGCTCCACCTCTGTGAGAAACCCCAAATCCGTCAGATAATCCAAAATATCCCAAAATAACCCCAAATCCCACAGCGCGTACACCACCCCGCTGTTCAGGACCCCCATGCCCTGTTCCACCTCTGTGAGAAACCCCAAATCCGTCAGATAATCCAAAATAACCCAAAATATCCCAAAATAACACAGCGCGTACACCACGCCGCTGTTCAGGACCCCCATGCCCTGCTCCACCTCTGTGAGAAACCCCAAATCCGTCAGATAATCCAGAATATCCCAAAATAACCCCAAATCCCACATCCCAGTCCATCCCAGTCCATCCCAGTCCATCCCAGTTCACACCAGTGAGGTTGCTGGCGCAGTCGGCGTAGCCCTCACGGTATGGGTGGCACCGTAACCCCCGATATCCCATATCCCAAAATATCCCCAGTCCCTCCCAGTCCATCCCAGTTAATCCCAGTCCATCCCAGTTTATCCCAGTCCATCCCAGTTAATCCCAGTCCATCCCAGTTTATCCCAGTCCATCCCAGTCCCATCCCAGTCCCTCCCAGTCCCTCCCAGTCCCTCCCAGTCCCTCCCAGTCCATCCCAGTCCATTCCCAGTCCATCCCAGTCCATCCCAGTCCATTCCCAGTCCATCCCAGTCCCTCCCAGTTCCCACCAGTGAGGTAGCTGGCGCAGTCGGCGTAGCCCTCGCGGTACGGGTCACATTTGTCCACGGCCATGCTGCCGTCGCTGCCCGTGGTGGCGAACACGGCGGCGCCGTGGCGAACCAGGGCCACGCACACCCCGGTGTCGTTGCACGAGGCCGCGCAGTGCAGGGGGGTCCTAAAACAGGGAGGGAGTGCACAGAGCCTCTAAATGTCCCCAAATGTCCCCAAATCCCAATCATTACCCCAAAACCACCCCAACATCCCATGCAGACCCCGGTGTTGCACGAGGCCACAGAGTGCAGCAGCATCCCACAGCAGGGCGGGGGATTGAGGTACCCCAGGGAACCCCGAAAAAGGTCCCCGTCCATGTCCCCATCCCACCCTCTAAAACCACAAATCCCCCATGTCCCCTGTCCCCCATGTCCCCTGTGTCCCCCCAGTCTCCTCTTGTCCCCCATGTCCCCTCAATGTCCCCGATGTCCCACCATCTGTGGCCATCCAGGGAGTTGATGTTGGCACCACTGGCAATCAGGAAGTCCCCACGCCCCTTACGTCCCCCCATATCCCTGTCCCCTCGATGTCCCCAATGTCCCCAATGTCCCCTCGATGTCGCACCATCCGTGGCTGTCCGGGGAGTTGACGTTGGCGCCGCTGGCGATCAGGAAATCCCAGTGTCCCTGTGTCCCCATATCCCCAATGTCCCCAATCCCCCCGATGTCCCCTCGATGTCCCAAATGTCCCCCAATGTTCCCATGTCCCCAATGTCCCCAATGTCCCCTCGATGTCCCACCATCCGTGGCTGTCCGGGGAGTTGACGTTGGCACCGCTGGCGATCAGGAAATCCCAATGTCCCCGTGTCCCCATATCTCCAATGTCCCCCAATGTCCCCCAATGTCCCCAATGTCCCCGATGTCCCCTGGATGTCCCACCATCCGTGGCTGTCCGGGGAGTTGACGTTGGCGCCGCTGGCGATCAGGAAATCCACCACGGCGTAGTTGGCGCCGCAGATGGCGTTGTGCAGCGCCGTGATGCCCTCGTCGTTGGGCTGGCTCGGGTCGTTCAGCTGGGGACAGCGCCCTGTCACCCCCAGGGACACCCTGGGGACACCCCCGG